AACTGGGAAATAACCCCGTCCCCAAGTGTCACAGGTCATGTTGACCAATTGGCTTAATTGGTGGGCTCTTCAGGCATTCCTTCCCCAACCTTATCTGTTGCCAGTAGAGATGACCTTGGTTCTCATGAGAAAACTCTTTGTTGTGTCCAACTTCCTTCCCCCCTTCTCCCTCTGTGTGGCAACTGAGGAACAGAAAGATGGCTGCAACCAGGTTCAGTTTGAATCTTGGTTGTCACTCATGTCCTTTGACAGAGGGCTTTGAAGTTTCTATTTTATATTAGCTTTATGAATCTTAAAAGGCTATTTAAATGTGAGTAATTTAACTGTGCTCTGCTTCTCATATATTATTACTTGAATTGTGTTACTGGTGCTATTGTTTTAAGAAGGTATATATGGATTCCTTTTTTGGATGTGGAATACTTTCCTTTATTCCTTTACGCCTGGCTAGGTGGCTCAGTGGCTAAGACGCTGAGCTTCTTGATCAGAAAGGTCGGCAGTTCAATGGTTTGAATCCCTAGTATGGGTTTCCTGCATGAGCAGGGGGTTGGACTAGATGAGGTCCCTTCCAACTCTGTTACTGTTAAATTCATATGTAGTTATTAGCTACTTTTTAGCCTTTCTCTTGGAGCTTGAGAAATTTGGAATGCATGTATTATGCTGATTATTTTAGGAAACTGTAAGGACTTGTCTCTCCTATCCCCTCAAGAAAGCAGAACTCTTGAAATAAGCAGCATTTCAAATCGAACTTTTATTGGGAGATAGTGATAGCAAAAAGAGTAAGTCAGGATCTGAAGTTTCCACTCAAAATAGGTTAAAAATTGTAGAAACCCCTGCCCTCAGTCCAATCTAAGGTGGGCCAATCCATAGGTCTAAAATTGTTGTGTGAATTTCAAACTGAGAAGGTGATAAGAAGTTGTTCTCAAGCACCACCTGCTCATTCATCTGGAGCTGGGACAAAACAAATGACCCCCCAAGCTCATCCTTCCCCTTTTCCTTTCCCAGGAAGGTACATCAAAGTAAAGGAAAAGTCAGAAATAGGAAAAGGTTATAAAATGTTAACCAGGCTCCTTCTCCTCAGAATGGCAACGTCCCGACTATGGGGACTTGACAGAAACAACAATCTGCCATTAGTTTCTTAACAATCAATGAAGATTTGTATTCCCTTACTCAAGGAACTCAGTACAAGCTATGCTGAAGAATTGTCACCTATTCCATGTAGTGCTTTTGTCATTTAGTACTGTGCCATATTAGTGTGTGCATTTTTTAAACCATCCAGGCAAATATTCTTCGAAAAAGTAAATGAGTGCAAAGATTTCCTGACGCAATTTTGTCATTATTCCCCTCTGGTGCTAGGTAACTGTAAACTGCAAAATAACCATCATATTAAAAAAGAATAATACAGAGGGGGAGGAGCCGAAGTCATGACGACACGGCATGCGATCTCAATGCTCTGAGATCATAGTCAACACTTTTGTTTCTGGGTGGTCCAAACGGACCTAAACCATCCCGTAGAGACAGTGAACAGGAAGAATACATCTTGCTGATCACAGGGACATCGCAAAGTTTCTGATTGATCCAAGATAAGCTCTTCAAGCTGGTGACAAAAAATCCAGCCATAAATGGCTGATGAGGTCGGGGTGGCTCCAAAATGGAAGGATACNGACTTCCCCACGTTTGCTTTGGTAGAAATCTCTGCGCGGCAGTTAGAAACTGCTGCGTGGGGGTTTCTTGCCACGTGCGCGGCCACGCATCCGTGCACCTTAGAGGGAACAGTGCTGGTAGCATAGCAAGAACAACAGTTGGCAGATGGACCAAGGCAGTCTTAGAATGGATTCCACTTGATAAAAATCATTCATGAAAGAGATCTAAAACAAGAAATTGACAAAATCAGCAAGTATTGCAGACCCAATTGGCAAAAGAAAGCTCAGGACTGTATTGGTTGGAAACAAGCAGAAGATGCCTTTATCCTAGAGTGGATAGACAATGGCTAAAATGATGGAGTAAACTAGTTAAGAGTTATCCTAGGATTCCAGTTAGGGTTATCACACAAAATTTTCCTTTCACGAAGAAATCCTGATAGAATTGAATTGAAGAGACCAGATGAGACAAGATGATTTGATCTAAAGGTATCAATAGATTCCTAGTACCTTGATATGATCCAAATGAGGAAAATATTGCAATAAAACATAAACTCAAGATTAAGCTTTTTTTTCTTGTTTTAAAAATATCCTTACTTTTCTATTTACACGGCAGAACATACTGCATATGGCTAATTCTACTAGGAAATCTAAGTGTAGAATTCCAACTAAAAATCCACGTGGAATAAATGTACTCATTATAGCATGATTTTAGCATATCTTATTATTGTATCTTATTTCAGCCACTGCCTTTTAGCCAACCATCATTCTATTTCGGCTTTATTCTGACATGCATTGAAGAAATCAAAAAGAAAGTTGAGATTTGTAGAAATTCAAAGGCATGTCACCCAGGGCTGTACTGTATTATTCTGGTTCTGGTTCTGGTTAGATTTGGCAAATTATGAATTTAGACGATTAGGACATCCTCGATTGCTGAAAAGAAATAAATGTACATTTTAATATTCATGTTAAGTACTGAATAAAAGACAAGTAATATTGGACTTTTCCATTAAATTATAATTCTACTACCTCTTCCATATGGCAATATGCTTCATTAACTATTATAGTAATTATATAACTAATTTCTTTTTATAGCCTGAACTGTTAGATATTCATCCATCCTTGGTGCTGTAGATTGCAGTTGTTTATTGTATCATTCCCTGAATATGAACATTCACTTCATAAGATAGTAACTATGTTCCTCTCTAGATTGGGTATTAACAAATGTAGTTGAATTTATAAATGTTATATAACATTGAATGATTTGATTGGTTTATGTTTACATATTATTGCTGTTAGTTTAACAAATACATATTCTTATCTCACACATTTTAGTGCCATGTGAGTATTGAATGATGCGATTTGAAAGTAATTTGCTTAATATTGAGTATTTTAAATATTTTCTCTTATGCAAATTGCAAACTGAAATTCAGAGTAAGAGGGTTTTGAAGAATGTGTAAGTATTCCAAAATATTGTAGAAACTGGAAGTCAATTAACATTTGAAATGGGAAAATATTTTCCCAGAAAATTACTATGGAAAATAAAAAATATATATTTATATTATGATATATTCCAAATATTATAGATTTAACTAAGAAGAACATATACACACTTAGTATATGACTGATACAGAACTACATCAATAGTCCAGAACAATAATTTGATTTATATACTAATTCCCGAGTTGCATCTTTAGAAGAAAAGTAATTGCAACCAATCTTTATTAAACATCTAATACATTCAATAAACACAGATATATTGTAATTAACTACAATTCCAAGATTAAAGGAAACTAAATCCTTTTTAGTGTGTCACACTTTATAACATTCAAGTTTGTTATCCCAAAGATTATGTGAATAGTTACTATGAATCATAAAATATCAAATATTCACTATATTGAAATTAGACATTCTCTCTAGCAAAATATTAGGAATCTAAGAATATAATTTGAATTTTAGAGTGTTACAACCTAAAAAAAATCCAAAATTTGACTCAGATCAAGTGTATTTTTCATGTATTGTCCACTGACTTGTATAGAAATATTGAAAACAATTACATATTTGTTTCATAAAATCTGTAGTTGAAAATCAAAATACTCATAGTTTCCAAATTTCTATACCTTACCTGTTATTCCTGCTTTAAACAGCCTTTTTGAAGTTTGTGTGATTCTTGTGCCAAGGCTCCTATCAGGGTTACAAGTAACACACCAATGGAATCAAAACTCCAAGGCAGACATCTTCCTCAAAGTATGGATTTATTAGGCATGTCATATTGGCACATCTGGGGAAAGCCAATTCTAAAACCCCGTTGGGTTTCCCCTAGTTAAAAGTAAAGTTTTATTTTCTCTTCCCATGCAGCCCATCACATGGTCCAATCAGGTCACTTGGTCTCAGATCCTATCTCCCTGCACCTGGTGGGAAAGTCCCTGGGTCTCAGAGGAAAGAATTTTATTTTGGCTACAATCCCCCAGCTATCTCTACTTCCCCCCCCTCCCATTCCTACAGCTCAACTCATCTCCACTGTTGCAGTCCTGAAGGTGGAGGGGGGAAATGGTTCCAGGGCTGATAGTTCCGACTAACAAACTCAAGCAAATCAGAACTCTGAGACTTGGCTTCTTCTCAAAGGTCTTCTTTAATGAGTATGTCATATCAGCACAACTTCAAAGGAAAACCAAATAAAAATCTTTCCCCCAATTACAGTATAATTAAACTGGGAAATAACCCCGTCCCCAAGTGTCACAGGTCATGTTGACCAATTGGGTTAATTGGTGGGCTCTTCAGGCATTCCTTCCCCAACCTTATCTGTTGCCAGTAGAGATGACCTTGGTTCTCATGAGAAAACTCTTTGTTGNGTGTGTGTGTGTGTGTGTGTGTGTGTGTGTGTGAGATATATATATATATATATATATAAACAGCCCAGGTTCGAATGCCAGTGAGATTATGGCTAGCTGATGAGAGCTAAATAGCTTGAAATGCACATATGCACATGTACACATACACATACACATACACATACACATACACATACACACACACATACATACATACATACATACATACATACATACATACATACATATAAGGCCTTGTTCATAAGCCGTAACATGTACACTTTTAAAATAGTTTATAGTTTTATTTGAATTTCTTAAGTGATTATTTTGGTAGAATTGTGTCTTTATTGGGTATAGTTTTCATTATCATAAATTATTTTATTCATTAGGTTTTTGTATTTTTGAAATATATAACCATCTGTTATGATTGGTTATCCCTCACTTTCTATTTTTTAAATTAGTACATTTTATGGAAAATATTAATAATAAAAATAGAAATAATAGAAATATCAAAATATATTTATGATTTCAGGCAACATTACAAGATCTGGAACAAAGGCACCCACAGCTTGAAGAATTAATAACAGCAGCCCAGAATCTGAAAAATAAAACTAGCAATCAAGAGGTTCGAACAATCATCACTGATCAAAGTAATGCATTTTTTGTATTTAATATTTTAAAAGTATAAAAACCTTGATTTGTATGTAAGCATTAAGTAAATGTTTTACTGTTTATGTTATAACCACTCTTCTGAATGGTGATATTGTTGGTGAAGCTGTGAAAATTACAGATAGGTTGCACCCTTAATGTTCTGCCTGACTTGTGGCATTGTTCTTCATACTGCAAATGCTTCCTGAAATCGTCCTGACTACCCAAAACCTTTGCAACTGAAATTGGTTTAAAATATGTATAAATTCAATTTAATATGCTTTAAAATACATTTTCTGCATTTTTTGGTGCTATGGTACCCAAGATGCTGCATAAACATTCTTTATATAGGGGCTGTGAAAACCAGCTGTAGTTTTACATTAAGTTATATTGTCCCTCAAGTGCAACTATACACTGCTAAAGCAGTTAAGGGAATGCAAGCAACACTGTGCAGAGAGGATGGCTTTTGGCATAGTCACTTTCCTGACTTTTCTATGAATGCACAGTAAGATCTTTTAATGAAATTATTATTGGGATTGCTGTTATTATTTAAAAATATTAAATGACTTTCTCCTGAAAAAGCTTGAGATTGCAATTTTTATCAATGTGCTTAGAAGTTATTTCCCTGAAAGTTTGATGTTGTCTTTGAGTACAACTTTAGGATAGATATTATGAGACATTGTTTCTTTGTTCAACGAGTATAAAGTGGAGAACACTTTCTGTCTTCTTTCCTTCTTCTCTTCCTCCTCCTTTTCTCACCCCCTTCCTCCCCCCAAAGCAGTGATGATTAAGATCTTATGGTTTTAGAATGTGCAGTTCCTCATAAATGCCAAACTCATTTCTGCCTGATGGTCTATTGGTGATTACTTATAAATATAATTATTTATATTATTTTAGCTAATGACTTTTCCTCAAATGCCAGTAACTATAAGATTTAAAGAATTTTAAAACTGCTTGAGAATATTGTAACTAGATAGAAGACTGACAATCAAATAAGCATGTCAGAGATTTCCTACATATTATACATTAGTGCAACTGGTCTATGGTGCAGCTAGTCTTTTCTTGAATGCCTATTATATATTCATGTGAGTCTGGACATATAGAAACTATTTAAAAAATCTTATTCTTGATTTTATAGATACTCACTTTCACAATAATTACAATAGTGCCTGATCATACTCATCATTTTATGTCTTTTAATTTCTTTCAGACTGTAATATTAATGTACAATTTTATGTTATAGCTCACATTGCTGTGTTGCTAAAGGTTGAAAATAAACTTGTAAAATTTGTCAAAAAGGGACCACCATTAACATTTAAATATACCAAACAAAATCTAGATGTATATCATTGTACTAGGTATTGTTGTCTATTATACTTAAACTTTTAATTATCTTGTTTAGCAGACTCTTAATTATAATATATTAGGAGAAATTTTGAAATATTTTAATAATTTCATTCAGTCTTTCTACATAGCATACAATTATATTTATTAGATTGTTTTATGTCATAATTGTCTTGTATATTTTTAATAGTAATTATAATTGTCTTGGTACTTCTTCCTAGATTTAACTTCTAGAAAATTTTAAGTTCAGTGCTATAATTTAAAGCCTTTTAGTTACCATGCTCATGCTTTTCATATATTTGGGGGAATTAATAATCTTATAATTTTAAATAATATTTAAATATTGACATAAAGTAAATATGAATTTATTTTTTGTTTTATTTTATTTTACTGTCCTTCAAGCATTTCAGTGCAATTATATAGTTCTTTTTGCTTTTATATTAGCTTCATGGCAACTTTACGAGAAAAGTTAAGTTGAGAGATGGCAATTGATAAAAGCTCACCAGCCCACTTCATTGACTGATTAAAAGTTTGAATCTGTATTTTGACATTCTATTCAAGTCTTGTAATTTTTACATTTATGGGCTTTATTATGAATGTTTTAAGCTTTTTAAAAATATATCAGTTGATAATCCTTGATTTGATTAATCCATTTAAATGTGGAATATCTTTCAGCTGCAGATGCTATTATGTGTTTTTTTTAAAAAATCATTTAACACACATACTTGAAGCATATAGCATGCAAAAAAAAACCTACATGCAACTTACATTCCATTGTCTATTCTTCAATGATTTATGAACAAACATTCTGGTATATTTTTGTTCTATTATTTTTACCTCATGTTAGATATTCAGCATATATATATATATTTCTGAATATATAAAATTTGTGACATAACAGAAGAAAAATAGGAGAAAAAGTGTGGCAATGCCTTATGTAGGTTTATAACCTGCTGTATTTCTTTAATGGGAAAATACACTGCAAATATGAATATATAGCTAAGAACAATGAGTTTTGTTGCAGTGAAAAGCCTTCACTGTATTGCGTTCATATTTTATTAAAGAAGGAATATTTCTAATCTTAAATTGCATAACACTTTTGGGCTTTAGGTATAAAAGGCTTTTAACTTTCTCAGCAGAGCTTTCTTTTTTAAATAATAACATTATTTATATTGAGTTTAAATGGAACAACATTTCATTTTTTTGTCCTTTCTGGAAAAAAAAATGTTCTTGAAATTGTTGGAGCAATGATTAAAGTTTTCTTCATTCATGAACAACAGTTACATTCCTAATTAAAACCCTGTTCCCCAAATAGCTTGTTTAAGAATATAGCCAAAGTTCAAGTAAGTTCAAAGTTTCCTATAAAAGCATTTTAAAAAATGTGCAAATGTATATATTTTCACACTTGCTAATTTGGATAGCTGTTCTGACTCCCCAGCCTGTGAATAAACCAGAACACAGGCTTGGCTGTTTGCCACTGNGGAAAGGGGGAGTTCCCGAAGGGAATAAAGTTCTGTCGCAGTATAACATAGAGGAAAGTGTGGCATCAACCAAATGGGGTGACATCACGGAGAGATGGAATGTGGAGATAACATGTCCACGGGAGGGGGGGGGCAGCCGACAGTGTTCGACAATTGAAGATCATAGCTTGTTTAATTGAAATATATCTAAATAATAAACTAATTTCAAATAACTACAGTGAGTTTACAGCATATCCAAATCATACTCTTGTTGTGTAATTCTTACTTATCTAAAGTTTTGTCATTATTATATAATAATGTTATTATGAAAAATTAATTCAACAAATGCAATTCAAGGTTCTAGATTGAGAGGTTAATTTGAAATAATGTAATTTTGAACATAATCAAGAACAGGCTTTTTAACTTTTATTTTAATTCATTGAAATAAGTATTTGAAAATAAAAAGACATATTTTATTTTTTCCTTTATTTCCCACAGTTGAAAAAATACAAAACCAGTGGGATGAAGTGCAAGGTCACATTCAGAATCGAAGGCAACAGTTACATGAAATGTTGAAAGATTCAGCACAATGGTTGGAAGCAAAGCAAGAAGCTGAGCAAAGACTAAAATGTGCCAAAATGAAAGTTGGAGCATGGAAGGAGATTTCTTATACAGTGGAAGGGCTAAAGAAACAGAATGCTGAGCTCAAGGTACTAGTAATAAATCAGAAAATAAAAATAGTATAAATTAAAAACAGAACTGTCCCAAACAAGTGTTTAAATATTACTTAAAATTAATTTAAAATAAAATAAAGAATAGCTTTCATCCTCTGCCTACGACAACATATTTCCCCAAATGTGTTTTGTACTATATTATCATTCAATATTTATTTGGTTTGCATTGCAATGTATATGTACATTTTTTAATTAAATGACAATGGTTATTAATGAAAAGAGATAAAATACAGCCAAAGGCAAGCAGAGAACATTCAGTAAAATGCTTAGTCAGATATATGCCACTAAAGAATTTTTAACTAGTTTATGATATATCTTCATAGTATCTAACTTGTAACTATTTGTAAATCTATTTCAATGAGTTAGAGAACAACAGTCATTCAAGTAACAAGAATAGCTGTTTACTAATTCATAGAATGTTCCGTTGTGGTATGGCTAAGTTATTAAAGGAAAGAGCCATATGTTCTTACAATAATATAGAAAAAGATCAGAGTAAAACATAGGTAAAATTAACAAGAAAAAAAATGAAACCAATGGTACACTGGAAAACAAAATTCTAGAAAATGCAAAATTGGCAGATCTAGTCAGAACAAGAACACCAATGATCTAGAGTACGGTTTCCAATCTTGGCAACTTTAAGACTTGTGGACTTCAACTTTCAAAATTCCCAAGCCAGCATGCAGTCTTTGGCAGTAGGGAAACAGTGAATTTAGATATCTTTAAATTAATTCAATCATTAAAAACAACTTCCTTCCAAAGAAAGTCAACTCTAATAATTGCTATGTCTACAGGATTTTGTTTTAAGGATTAAAGCTACTAGCATGCTATAATACTTACATCTGGTTTCCAAAAAAAATGTCCTAATTGATTTATGAGCCTTGGACCAAACTTCAAAGGAAAATTAATCATTTATTAGAAGCATTTATTTTTGGCAAGATCTTTTCACAGTCAGACCTAAGCTTTGTTTGAGTTATAGCTGAATTTTACCCCTGTTTCTTCCCTTCCCTCTGTGTCATAAATCACATTCCCCAATGAAGTGCACCCCTCCCAAGCCTGCTGCAGTAATATGAGCCGAAAATATGTGTGGAATGCACTTCCCTTCCTTCTTTCACCATGACAACTTTGGGAGTTGACAACTTATACATAGCACTGCATTAGTTCATTTCTTATATTATTCAGTTGAGTAATATTAGAATACAAAGAAAATTTATCCTGTTTTTAAAATTTATTCTAATGTGAAGACTATGCAGTTTTTTTTTCTGTAAAAGCATTTCAATTCATCTCAGATTTATATTTAAAAAAACATTGTGAAAGTATGTCAACAGAACTGCTTATATTTTTCTCTACTTCATTGAGACATTGAGGAAAAGTGGTAAAATACATTATTGTAAACCCTACATAGCTCTTCCTATGGGAAGGAAAGGAAAGAAAGAACAGGAAAACATACATAACAGCTAAATGATTACTGAAAGTAAAAGGGAAGTACAGAAAATGAAGAAAAATGTGTCATTAGTTTAATTATAAAAATCATTATATGAAATCATGTAAAACAGAAAATAATGGGACTCTTAATAGGTTAGCTAATAAAACACATACTATCATTGTGATCTTCACTTAGCTCAGGGACATTGGAAGTGTTGACTGAAGATTGGAAGCCTTTCAAAGTTTTTCAAAAGATTATTTTGTCAGAAAGGGAGAACACTTATGAAAATTCCTATAGACTGTTGGAAGAAATGTCCTTCTGGGTTCAGTTCCAAGTGGGGAGTGGGAAGACACTGGAAACATGGAGGCTGCTTGGAAAGATGGTTTTAATGATGGACAGGACCACATGATTTGAGGTCCTGGGGAAAAAGGTGATCACATGTTTCAAGATGAGTGAAGAAGAAAAGAGACAGAGATGCTGAAAGTCNTCCTGCTGGGCCACAACACTATCCCTCACCGCAGGGCCCTTCCCCCAGAGCTGATGCTCAGGGTGTGGCCTTGAGGAACATTATGCATGGTAGGCCCACACCAAAGCACCCAAGTCCCCCTGTTCGGCCCATCGTCCTTCCAGTCCACCAAGTACTGGAATCGTCCCTTTGGCCATCTCGAGTCCCAGATCTGCGCCACTTCATGCGTGAGCTGCTTCTCTGCCTCATGCAATGACAGCTGGGGGGGGGGGAGAAGATGGGCTGAGAAGACAAGCCGACCACTCAGGGACCAGGAGCGAGTGATGGAACACTGGGTGCACTCGCATCGAGCGTGGCAAGGTCAGGCGATAGGCCACCGAGTTGATGACGGCCTCCACCGGGAACGGCCCAAGGTAATGGTGGTCCAACTTCTTAGCTGGCCGGTGGGACAGAAGGTGTCACGTGGACAGCCACACGTGATCTCCCACAGTCAACTCTGGCACCACATGTTGAGACCTGTCCGCCACCCTCTTGTAGTCCTCTTTGGCTTGAGTCAGATAGCAGCCCACCACTTGGTGGACCGCCTGGAACTCCGAGAGGAAATCCTGCACTGTGGGGACCAGGGAGTCAACTGGGGTAAGAGGAAAGAAGCGAGGGTGATATCCGACATTATCCAGGAAGAGCGTTGTCTGCGTGGAGGTGTGCTGCGAGTTGTTAAATGCAAACTCCGCCATGGTCAGGTAGTCCACCCAGTTGTTGTGCTGCTGATTCATGAAGCAGCCCAGGTACTGTTCCAAGATCCCAATCACCTTCTTCGTCACCCCTGTCAGTTTCAGGATGGTGCGCTGAAGACAAACAAATCTGGACATCCAGAGCCTCCATCAGCCCTTTCAAGAACGGGGCCGTGAATTGTGTCCCACGGTCCGACATGACCCGATCAGGTAGGCCGTGCAGCCGGAAGACGTGAACATGCGAGCGGTGGTGCAGGCTGTCGGCAATCTCTGACACGGAATGAAATGCGCCATCTTCGTGAGCATGTCCACCACCACGAGGACCGTGGTAAACCCTGAAGACAGAGGCAATTCCATCAGAAAGTCCATGGACACACTCCCCAGGGTCTGTCCGGGGTCGGCAATGGCTGAAGCAGCCCTGGAGGAGCTTCCATCGCTGACTTGGCCTGCTGACCCTGTATACAAGAGGTGACGTACATCTGTACATCGTGTCATAAGTGGGGCCACCAGAAGGTACGGGAGACCAGGTTCAAAGTTTTCAAAAGGCCAAAATGTCCCGCCACTGGATTGTCATGGCACTGGGAGAGAATAAGTCCCCGGAGGGCTCCCGCAGGCACATAGAGCCTGTGCCGGTACCTCAAGAGGTCATTGTCGAAGGTCCATGGGGAGGCCGGCCCTACCTGTGCCCTCCATTGCTCCACCCACTCGTCATACCACTGCGTGTCCTGTATCTGAGGCCGTAAGTCCACAGTCTTGTGAACTGCAGCGAAGGATTCGACGGGCAAAACTGTCTGGGGTGGAAGCAGGTCTGTAGTGCAAGAGTACTCAGGTTTCCTGGACAGGGCATCTGCCCTTTGGTTGCACGCACTTGGGATGTGGGTCACTCGGAAGTTTAACCGAGCAAAGAACAGGGACCACTGGATCTGGCGCTGATTCAACTTGCGTGCCGTTTTCAGGAACTCTAGACTCCTATGGTCTGTCCGGACCTCGACTTGATACCTGGCCCCCTCCAGGTGATGCTCCCAGGCCTCAAATGCCACCTTAATGGCCAGCATCTCCTCCCAGATGGTGTAATTGCACTCGGAAGGATTGAGTTTCTGTGAGAAGAAAGCGCAAGGGAAAAGAGTGCCGCCAGGGGCGTGATCCTGCAGTAACACTGCACCCACTGTGATGTTTGATGCGTCCACCTCCACCACAAATGGACAATGAGGATCAGGGTTCTTCAGGATTGGCTCCTTCATGAAGGTGTGCTTTAAGGCCTCGAACACGTGTTGCTGCGTAGGGCCCAGCGAAACAGCGCTTTCTTCTGCAGGAGCTGCGTGAGGGGTGCGGTCAGGAAAGCGAAGCTGGGGATGAAGGTCCGGTAGTAGTTGGCAAACCTGAGGAGTTGCTGTACATCCTTCGTTCGCCGATGAGGTTGCCAACTGTGCAAAGTCTCTAGAAGAGCCGAGGTGGCACAGTGGTTAAATGCAGCACTGCAGGCTACTTCAGCTGACTGCAGTTCTGCAGTTCGGCTGTTCAAATCTCACCGGCTCAGGGTTGACTCANAAATGAGGACCCAGACTGTGGGGGCAATATGCTGACTCTGTGAACTGCTTAGAGAGGGCTAAAAGCCCTATGAAGCGGTATATAAGTCTAACTGCTATTGCTATTGCTAAAACTGGGTTGGTTTGCTTTAGAAGAAATTGGCAATTGAATAACTTAGAAGGTAAAAAATATTGAAGACAAAATTACATTAATTAAATAATAATGTATAAAATGTATTTCTAAGTATAGAAATGTGTTGAACACAGACTCCTTTTTTACATTTTTAACAGCTGTAGGAAAAAAATATATAATCCAGTGTTTACAGGAAATCCTAGTTCCTCAGAGTTTTTCAAATGTTTTCATTTGGTTGACATGGAAATCATCTGAAGGGTTCAGTGCTGAAACGTTGTGTCACAGTCACAGTAATAGATTCTCTCATTTTTATACTCTTCATTATCTGATTTTTTCTTATTAATATACTTTTTTTTACAAATTTCATGGCATCCTACAGTATTTATACTGTTTCTTGTGATTAGATTTTGTTCTTAGAGTCTCAGAGGGATTTATTTCCAGTGCTTTATCAGATTTTAACTATAGATGTCAGAGCTTCAGACAGACAGCTTCTGCATACAACTTACATTTTATATCATGTAACCATTCCATGTGTCTTTGACCTTCATTTGAGAGTGATTATATCTGAGCTACACATATTTCACTACACAGCTCCTGTTATAAGTTAGTAATATTGCTGTCTCATGGTATCAATTTGCACAATCTTTCTCATACACATTTATGTTTTGTTCAATTTCCAAAGTCAATTTTGCCTCTTTTCTGTGAAGGACATTGTTTTTCAAAGAAATGATGGGAAACTCTTCCTTATTTTTTTTTTCTTAAGGCACTTAAATATATCAATATGTTGGCCAGGTCTTTCCTTTATATGGATGTATTTGTTTTTTGTCTTTAAAAATGATGCTGCCTTATTCATGTGACTCAACTTTCTACTGATTAAATTCATAAAACTGTTTTCATACATTTATCTGTTCTCTCATTTATGCTTATAACAGATTCTGCGTTTTTCATCTAGTTTATGCTCATTTTACAAAACCACAACAAAGCATTTTTCTTTGCTTCTTAGAAAACAATTAATGCAGCTATAACTGTATTATATTTGCATAAAGAATCATATTTTATATTGTACCAAATAATATATAATTAAGCATAAAATTAAGCCCAGGCTATATAAAAAGGGATTATTTTCTCTACTTCAAAGGATACTTTTCTTTCATATTAAACCACTAATATGCATAAAATATGTGATAAATAATTGTTTTATGTGCACTTCTAGGTTGTAGAGACTTTTAAGTTTTGTATAATGAACTTTGTCAGCATTTTACTTATCAAACACAATATTTAGTTAGTGAAATAGCTAGAATAGTAAGATGAATTATTTTCAAACTCTTCCTTTTTCTGAACTGTTTGTTTGTTTGTTTATTGGATTTATATGCCGCCCTTCTCCCAAGGACTCAGGGCGGCATACAACATTAAAAAAACCACATATTACAAAAGTTTAAAAAAAAAATATAGAGTATCCAAAAAACAAACCCAATTAAGATTAACAATAACATTTTAAAAATTCAATTAAAATTAACAATAACCAATCATTTTTTTTATTTTGTTCAGGCCAGGCCGGCTTGCTGGAAAAGCCAACTTTTTAGGGTGCGTTGGAAGGACCTGAGGTCGGGATTATACGAAGCTCC